CCGGGAGCTGGCTGGCGGACTGAACACAGCAAAGGGCGGGCCTTTCCACGATGGCTGTGGCTTCTTTTTGAAACAGAACAGGTCGTCTCTGAGGTCAGAGCAAGGGGAGGGTGCTGCACTCGCGTCAGGGACTGGAGACAATGGTAAGCTTGGAGAGAACCCTTGAGGGCGATGAGAGGAGAGTCAGGGGAGCAGGGGGCAGTGGGGGAGGCAAGAGGGGCGACTACGGCTTTCACGGGCGGATTTCTGTAGCCCGTGAAAGCACAGCCCCCTCATCATCCCTGGCGGGGCAAGAAGAATGGGCACAGCAGCATAACAGGGCCAGGGCCACAGGACCCCAGGGAGAGGCGATCGGGGGAGGGGTTCCTGGAGTGCAGCCAGGAAGGAGAGGGGAGGAGCGCAGCGGGCAGTCAGGAGTAGCGCAGCGCAAGGTGAGAGTGAGAAGGAGGCCACGGTGGAGGCTGAGCTCTAGAGTCCAGCGTTTTGGCCCCGGGGCTGCTCCAGCTGTGAGCTCGATAGGACGCTGACGAAGACCTGTTTGTGTCTCTGCAGAGCTCAGCCCCACCTGGGCCAGGAGCCCTCGAAGGCCAGGCCACAGGTACATGGCATTAGGGGCTCCGCTGACATCCCGCCCCCGCCATGTCCCAGAGAGCAGTTTGCAGCATTTATTAGCAGGAACCATCTCCCAGGGCCCCAGCGTGGGCAGGTTGATAAGGAAGCGGTGCCTCTTGCTAGTAGGTGCTACCGGAGATTCTGGCTCATGGCTGGGGTTTATGCCCCACCAGGCCAGCCTAGGATGCTGGATCGGTGACTTCTTATTCCCCCTGACTTGCTCCCACTTAATCCTATCTTTTCTCAAATAAGAAGGTAGACAAAGGCAGAACCCCCCCCCACACACACACACCCAGGCTCTGCCCATTTCGGGGAGAGCCCTGGTTGCCATTGGGCTGGTCACCGTAAAGAAGCTCAGCTTCTGCCCTCCATGCCTTCTCCTGCTGGGGTATTTATAAAGGCTCAGAGGAGCCTCTGGAAATGACCCCCGAGGTCTAACTCCTCTCTAGAGACCGAAGCCCCTGGGTGTCAGGGCATGTATTTTCTTCTGGAGAATAGGCATGTTAGCTTTGGATTCCTGTGCCCGCAGGCAGGAGAGCCATTTCTCCATCAGATGCTTTCCAAGCCGGCACCCAAGCCTGCACCCAAGCCTGCAGTCTCAGCGCAGGGCTTCATGAGGTACAATGGAATCCTGGCCTCTCACAGTCAAGGGATATGTGTCCCTTTTGGCAGATTTGGGGTACTTCCCAAATGACTTAGCATTTACTCCTAAGAGGCCAGCATTGGAAGGGGAGGAGATGGGGGCTGGTTGGCTCCTCTGTGGATGGTCGGACAGCTGAAGCTAGAGCCGATACCCTTGCAGTCCTCCTTTGGACCTCCAGAAGCATCTTCCTAGGGCCTAGGGAAGGGGACCCTCCTACACTGGGGCCAAAGACCGTAACCCAGGAGCCTGCTTCTTCTGCTTGCTGCTCTGCTCCCCACAGATGACCAGTATCCCTAAAGGGCTACACCTGGGTGCTGCACTGAGTCCAGGGCAGACCACCTGGGTGATGGCTTAGAGGCTACCCCCTCCCCATCAAGAACAACAGTGGGGAGCAGGGAGGCAGTCTCAAATCTCAACACACACACACTCTCACACATCTCCCAATAGCTGCTGGAAGTCCTTCAGACCAGGCCCTGCCCCTGTGTTTGGTGGGTTTTCCTGCTGCCAGTCGGCCCTGCACTTGGACTCTAGGCTGACGGCCAGTGCCCCCCCCCCACTCAGCTGTTCATCTACCTTGTTCATAGGGAGGCAGTGGGAGAGGGGGAGAACATGAGAACATTTCCTGGCCCCCAAGGCTCAGGAAGGAAGGAAAAGAAGGACTGCGGCTGCTGGAGCCTGGGGGGTGGGGGACATGACATGATGGCAGGGGTGGTCCTGCCTCAGCAACGGGCCTGGCTCTGCACTTGCAGCCACAGCTCACTTTCCATCCTCAGACCGGCCCCTCTGTCAGCAGGGCCTGGAAACGGCTGGAGGTCGGCTTTAGCCTTCCTTTCTAAAACCTTTCCTCTCTGATCTTTTCATCACCTTGAATCACCTTCCCCACCCACTGGGATCTTCCCCCTCTCCTTAAATCTGAGGGAGGGAGCCAAGCCCTTGGGGTTCCCACCACCCCACTGCCTCCCAGTGTCCACGAGGGGGAGCTGCGGGAAGTGCTCCTCTCATCCACAAGGACCACATCCCGGGAATGGGAATTGACCCGATTCCTGTGGAAGCGGTCAGGAGCTGGCCCCCATTTCTTACCACACACTCCTTCCCATGATGACAGCTATAGGGAGCTGCTTTTCTCTGTGGCAGAAGTCAGCTTGGTTTCTCCACCCAGGAATGGGTTTCATGTGTCTTCCTGGGAGAATCCTGTTGATAAGTATCTTGCCTCAGTGTGTCTTATGTGTCATTCCTACTTTTCTGAATTCCTTTTGTTGATGATCTGTGGGGCAGAAGCAGGGGACATCAGCTTATTCTTGCAGTAACTGACAGGACAGGTTTTTTAGAGGGCTTGCTTTCCTGCATTAGGATCATGTTGATATATTAAACCAAGAGCTTTTGGGTACTGCTTGCCTGCAGCCTGGCCATCCATCGGGGTAGAGAAGAAGCCAAGCCTTCCTCTTCCTCCCCTACACCTGATATAACTTCCCTTTGGCACAAAATCAGGGATGCTTCTATGAAAACGGGGGCTCCCCAAACTCCTAGACAAGCCAGGCTGTCCCCCCACCAGTCTAGGCCTGGGCTCACCTCCAGGCTCCATCCCACACCAGTCATGGACCCCCCACTCTCGTGGCCCCCCGGAGATGAGCCCCGAAGATCACAAGCACATCTTGAACTCTAGAGCCTGCAGGGCCCACACGCATTGGTATACACACACACACACACACACACACACACACACACCACCCACCCACCCACACACCACCCTTTTGCAAACACTCAAGTGGCTGAGCTACTGGAGCCTGCAGGGCCCACACGCATTGGTATACACACACACACACACACCACCCTTTTGCAAACACTCAAGTGGCTGAGCTACTGGAGCCTGCAGGGCCCACACGCATTGGTATACACACAAACACACAAACACACACACACACACACACCACCCACCCACCCACCCACACACCACCCTTTTGCAAACACTCAAGTGGCTGAGCTACGGATTGGTATACACACAAACACACAAACACACACACACACACACACCACCCACCCACCCACCCACACACCACCCTTTTGCAAACACTCAAGTGGCTGAGCTACGGAGGCCGCCAGGGGACCTAGGCCTCACTGCCTGCCCTAGACCTCTGGGGGCCTCTCCTTCCTTACCTGGACAGACAAGATAGGCCCCCCGGAGATGAGCCCCGAAGATCACAAGCACATCTTGAACTCTGGAGCCTGCAGGGCCCACACGCATTGGTACACACACACACACACCACCCTTTTGCAAACACTCAAGTGGCTGAGCTACGGAGGCCGCCAGGGGACCTAGGCCTCACTGCCTGCCCTGCGTGGCCTCTGGCACCTGGGCCACCCACGGTGGTGGTGAGTGACAACTGCTTCACTTTTTACTGCCTTCAGCTGTTCTGAGGGCTATTTATATTCTCTTGAAAAAGTGGGGGAGGCTGATTGCTTAGCTAATGCTGAGCTCTGACTCCCTGGAGTAGGAGCTGAGTCCATGGGTCTCAGGGCCACCTTCTGAAAGTCGCAAAGTTTGGGATCCAGCATACTTAGTCCTTCTGCCCCCTGCGGGCTTCACTGGCTCTCCTCCAGGCCACCCCAGCCCCCTGTGCCCAACAGGCCAGCTCCCCCTACCCTGTCCCTGCCCCTCCATAGGCATCCAGTCCCATCCATTGCTAACCTTCCTGCCCTCCCCTCACAGTCATCCCGTTTGAGCCCCAGAGTGACTTGTCTTCCCACCTCCCACTTCCCACCAGCACCCCCTCAACCACACATGACACCACACACCGCAGTGGGTCCCCATTGGGACAGGGCCCTTCCCTGACCGGCCAGTGACTGGCCACCAGACGTGATGGCCAACCCCCTCTGAAGCCAGAGGGCTGCCCCCAGTCCTGCTGCCCCTTAGACAAACGTGCACTACAACATCCCTGTGTCCTCTGCCTCCCTCCTGGCCATCAAAAGCCTGGGCCTCAGGGGCATCACCCGCATCAGCCTGACCAACCTGGATGGCTCGCCAGCTTCACACCAGGTGCTGGAGTGTTGCCTACCACTTGGGCCTGAAACTGCAGAACTTGTGCCGCAGTAGGGGCAGCCCCACGGAGGCCTCCTTTGTGGCCTTGATCCTGGGCTGCCTGGCCCTGCGTATCCTTGACCTCAGTGGCTGCAACAGCCTCTTCACAGGCAGCACGCTGCTAGCCCAGCCCGAGACGGCACAGTGGGTCCGGCAGGTGTTGCGTGGCCTCTGTGAGCTCAACTTGGCTGACCTGCGGGACCTGACCGACCTCAGTTTCAACCGGCTCAGCAGCTGTGCCCCCAACCTGGAGTGCCTCTCCTTGGCCTACTGTCACCTCACTTTTGAACTAGGCCCAGCCCAGGGCTCCCTTAGCCCCCAAGACTCCTCCCCCCGCCAACTCTCCTTCCACAACCTGCTGCGATTCATGAAGGAAAGGGCTGATGGGCTGCACGCCCTGGACCTGAGTGGCACTGGCTTGCTCCCCGAGGCCCTGAAGGCCCTGGGTCAGGTGGCCGGGCTGCAGCTGCAGGAGCTGAGCCTGCACAGCTGCCAGGACCTCTCCACAGAGGCTGTGGCCGCCCTTTGCCATCTGCAATCGGGCCTGAGCTCCCCGGACCTCAGCGGCTGCTCAGAACTGGCCGACGGGGCACTCCTGGCCATCAGCCGGGACTTGGGGCACCTGCAGTGTCTCCGCCTGAGGAAGCTGCAGCGGCTGACGGACGCAGGATGCACAGCCCTGGGGGGCTTGCGGGAGCTGCACAGCCTGGACCTGGCAGAATGCTGCCTGGTGAGCGGGCGGGGCCTGGCCCAGGGTCTAGGTTCGGGGCACAGAGCTCCAGCCCCCTTGGCCTCCCTCAGCCTGGCCTACTGCTCCTCACTCAAGGTGAGCGCACCATCCCCTTCCTTCCTTTCCAGGGCTGAGGTATGGGGGCGCTGCACCCGTGGCGGCAGGGAGGCCCTGCCCAGTGTCGGCGTCCAAGGAACAGCAGGGAGAAGTGAACTTAGGACACAAGGGGAAAGGAGCCTGGAAAGACAGTGCTCCTGCCAGCACTCCTCCCCTTGGCCCCTACTGTGGGCCCAGCTAGAGGGAGGCCCAAGGGACCAGTCCGGCCCAGCCCATACCTCACATACCAAGTGCTCTGTGCCCCCTGGGTAGTCTGTCTGGGTAGCGGCACTGATGGCAGGTGTTCTGGAGGCAGGGAAGATGAGGGGGGGGGTCTGCAGAGAACGGATGCTGAGGCTACACAAGGAGGTTGCTCGGCAGGGTCTGACAGAGGTAATGTGATGTGGGAGTCATGGTCATTTCTCGGCTGCAGCCAGTCCCTTCAATAGGGCTCAGCCCTGTCCCTCTGGGTGGCGTCCCTAACTTAGCAATGTCAGCCTCTCCCTCTTTAGAGGGTTATTCCTTCAACCTCTCAATGTGCCCTGGGTATTCCCAACCTGAAAACCATCTCTCAGTCTTTCCTCCACAGGCACTTTCCTTGCCCTGCTCCACTCCGTCTTCCCATTAGCACGATGTGTCTCTTAGCTGCTCTCCCCGGGGCCCCGTGTTCTTGTGTCTCTTATAAATCTCTTTATAAACCAGCTTCCTCTACTCTGCCCTTAACTCCTGCTCCTGGCAGGTGGCAGCCCTACCCCGATGGCAACCTCCCAGTTCTGCTTCAAATTCTAGAGGGAGCATACCTGATTGGATCAGCTAGGGTCAGATGTCCAGTGATGATCCAATAGGCTATGGTTGGAAGGCTGCCTCCGCCCACACCTTCAGCAGGCTCTGGGAGCACTGGCAGGACAGATACTTTAGAAACTTGCACCTGTATCCTTCCCGCCGAGGTCAATCTAGGCCTTAGTCCTCCAGCAAACTCCTCCTGGCGTCCCACCCCTACCTTTTTACCAGCACAGGGACATTGTTGCTTCCCTCCATGGGCCATCTGGTGGCTCCCTCCTGTCGCCTGTGGGGCTGGAACCTTGGCAGAACCTTCTTGGGGACCCCTGCACAAGCCACCTGTCCATTGCTCTCTCCCTTCTCCACTTCCCTCCTAGGATGCCTCAGTGTTCTCCCTGATCCCAGTGCTGGGCCTGAGCCTCAAGAGTGCTAGACTTATCCTCCTGTGTGGCCCTCACCAACAGGACCCTGCAGGCCATCTGCACCTACCTAACTCACCTCTCAGTCCTGCGTCTGGCCTGGTGCAAGGAGCTCGAAGACTGGGGGCTTCTGGGGCTGGGGGAGCCAAGTGAGGAGCCGATGCACGAGCCCCCGGTGCAGGTCATGGAAGGGGGGAGGGTGGTCCCTGGGCTCAGCTGCCCTCCTGCCCCTCCTAAGTGTGTCTCTCTAGGAATATTTGAGGGCCAAACTCAGGAGGAACCTGAGAAGCACGAGCTTCTTCCCACAGCTACATCAAGAGCTGGAGCATCAGGCCTCGGGCCCCAAGGACCCTGCTCCCCAGCCACAGGGCCCTTCCCTGCTCAAGCTGCAGGCCCTGTAGGAGTTGGACCTCACAGCCTGCAGCAAACTAACTGATGCCAGTTTGGCCAAGGTGTGGGGCCGGGGGTGTGGATAGGCTGAGGAGACTGGCACCGGCGCCAGGCCCAGGCCAACCCGCTTTTTGCTTGGAAGACGTTCCATGCCCTTTGGCTTCTGCTACTTATGGCCATTCCTCCAGCTGGGGGTGGGAGAGCCTGGAAGGGCCCTGGGCGCCAGCACTCCCCCCGCCCCCGCCCCCTGCTCAGCCCGGTCCTTGCAAGTGCTCCACTTCCCCGAGCTGAGGCAGCTGTCGCTGAGCCTGTTGCCAGCACTCACAGACCAGGGCTTGGTGGCCGTGGCCAGGGGCTGCCCCAGCCCAGAGCGCTTGGTGCTGAGTCACTGCAGTCTCCTCAGTGACGAGGGCTGGGCCCAGGCGGCCAGCTCCTGGCCCATGCTGCAGCACCTCAACCTGGCCAGCTGCAGGCAGCTCACCGAGCAGTGAGTTGTCCGATGATGCCACGGTCCGGGGGCTGGGCTGGGTCCCCGTGCCGGCTGGCGCTCATTGGAGGCCTCCCACAGAACTCTGGGTACCATCGGGCGGGCACGAAAGCAGCTCCGGATGTTAGATGTGGCCATGTGCCCTCGTATCAGCATGGCTGCCGTCAGGCACTTCCAAGCCCAACTGTCCCAGGTGACCTGTGTCCAGTCCCGCTTCGTGGGAGGTGCTGACCTGACCGTAACACTCTAGGGCCAGGTCGGTAACCAACCCTGTGCCTCAGCCTCCGTTGCCCCCCCCAGCCCTGAGTCCCCAGCCCTGCCCTCTTGACCTGATTCGAGTCAGTGCCTTCTGCCCACCTCTGCCACATACACCAAAGCCCCCTCCCCAAGCTATAAACCCCTTTTTCTAGGACGGCGGGTAGGGCTAATCCGGGGCAGTCAAGGGGGCTTCCTGCCCCAGTCTGCCCTAGAGCCCAGCAGGAACCTTTTCCAGCCATACGTCGCTGCCCCAGGCCTCTGGAAATGCCGGCTCCTGCTCTCCTGGCCAGGCCCACAGGTGGGGTGCATCGGGGGCTGCGGAGCAGACCATGTGCCTCTTGCCCTGCCCACTTCTCCCACCTGAAGCCTGTGCCTCGCCTGAGGAGCTCTCCCGGCCCTTACTGGCACTGAGCTTCAGCAGCCAGACCACAGACTTTGTTGTAAACCCAAACAAAATTAAAAATTCCAGATCTTACCTCCTTGTCTGAAGTTCTCAGACTAAAGGGCCCCCTCCTCCCCTCCACCTCAGTTGAAGCAGCCCAGCCTAGCCCAGGGACAATGTGGACAAAACACCAGAGGCACATAGACGATTTCTTCCTTACACCTGACCCCAAAGCCCCACAGGTGCCCCCAGCAAGTCCGAACTTCCTCCCCAGTATGGTGGGAGCCTAGAAGCCTGGAGGACTCTCCCTGCCTGAGCCTCCAAGCATGTCCTGCAGCAAAGGCACGTCCCAGCCAGGCCCAGGAGCACAATGATTAAGGATGCAATGAGGCTGTCTTCAGGGAGAAAAAAGAAAGAGGGCAGCATCTCTGGGTAGGGCCCTCAGAGGTCCCCTAGTCCAACCTCCTGAACAGTGCCAGTGACTTCTCAACAGCAATTCTGAGAAACTATCTGTCCACTCTCTCGTCCATCTGCCCATCAGTTCTAGGAGCAGCTAGCACGGCTGCCCGAGTGCCCCCCAAGCACTGCACTTTCTGTGGGGTTCAGAGGTGCCGAAGTTCTCCCAGCCCCCAGGTCAGGCAGGGAGGCAAATTAGCCAACAGACAGGGACAGTCTGGTGTGGGGGGTGTGCGTAAACAGAGAAACAAGCAGGTGGAACTGGGAGCCCAGGAGAGCAACGAACAGAGCCCAGGAGATCAAGGAAAGACTTGAGGCAGTGAAAAAGGAGCAGAAGGGAAGAAAGAGGGCAATGAGAAAGGACCAGGGAGGTACACGCGACAGGCCCGAGCTGGTGCTAGGAGGGCAGGGCGGGGCCCCCAGGCCGCAGGGAGGATGCTAGCTTGGATCAAGCAGAGAGAACTCTGCAAGCCACAGGCCTTTTGTTAGACGTCCTAAACCACATGTCTCCAACCCATCTAGCTCTACTGCTCAGGCAGGTAACTGTGACCCTCATCCCACGGACAACAGAGACACTGAAAAATACAGGATGGGGGTAGTGTGCATATGAGTGTGTAATCAGATCAGCTTCATGTTTGAAAAAGCACTTGGGGTATTAAGGACTGGAGGGGCAAGACAGGAAGCAGGAAGTCAGGAGACTCTTGCCAAGATGTTGGTGGCCTGGACAAGGGAATGGAGACACTGGGGAGGAAGAACTGATGGTATTAGAAGAGTTACTGCATCAGGGATCCCTGCTCCTGATTGCCATCTTGAACTCCATAGCAAGTTGAACTTGAACTATTCCAAGGTGAGAAGCCTCTGAATACAGAGCCCCCTGGAGGCCCGAGTCAGAAGCAGGTGCTCCCCCAGCACATTCTCCAAAGGAGATGCCATTTCATCAGTTTTCAAGGTAACATGTTGATGGTTAACACTGTTTAAAAAGGTATGTGCGAAGGTGAGAAAGAGAAGTAGTGAGAGGCATGGAGGAGGTCAGAGAGGTGGCAGCTTTCAGCCTGCCCTGCCTGTGGGGCCTGTGGGTTGGTGTGCTAGCCTCTGAAACTGACCTCCAGCTGGGCCCAGCACCCCTAGCCACTTCTGCCCCCAGGGGCCTTGCCTGTCTGTGGCCCCCACCACACCCATGCTCCAGCAGATTTGAATCAGAATGCCAGGCTACCTGCACTGAATTCCCTCTTGTCAGCATCAGCCCTATCCTCCCAGCACCTGGGGACATGTTTGGAATCTGAAGAGTTTGCCATTCAGCACAAAACAGACCCAGCTTCACATCTGTCCCTTCAGACCTCTCACCAGAGGGCCTCCGAGTCTTGAAAAGGACACCAGGCAGGGCCAAGCAGGACTGCGGACTGAGGTGAGACTGTCAGGAGCCTTCTGGAAACTAGGCCCCTGTTAATGCGGCCCAGGAAGGCATCCACTCAGGGCAGTATCTTCTGCCCTGCGTCCCTCAATGGGCTGCTACCCAGACCAGAGGCCATCCCTCTCTGCAGGCCCAGCACCAAGGAAGGCTGACGACTCATCCTGTGGAAGGACAATAGGGTCAGCTTATCTCCAGCCCCTCCTTCACAACACCAGCCCCTCAACTGCGGCCGCCCAGGTTTGTGGCCCCAAGCAGTGACCTCGGTCTGATGCCCCATCTCATTTGCCAGCTAAATTTGAAGGCAGGCTTGGCCCACAGTTGCAGAACTGGCTCGACACACACCCAAGAGTCAAGCAGACTTTATTTCTGAGGCAGCCTCTGCTGGTCAGGGTGTCCGGTTTTACCACCCTCCACCCTTCACGGTCACCAATGCCAGCAAGCTGTGGCCCACGGCCAACCTCACTGTCAAGGCTCAGTGATGCTGCAGTCATAGCAGAAGTTGAAATTGGTGGGGGGCGGGGGGATGGGAGGCGGCTGCTCGGGAATGGGCACATTCTCCAGCTCCAACAACCGCAGCTTGGTCTCCATCGTCAGCAGCTGTTCCAGGTCCAGCCGAGTCTGCTCACTGCCCATGGGACCGCCGAGCAGGGCGCTCAGCCCATCTGTCCATAGGTGGAACTGGGGATGGGGCCAGCTCCATGAGGGCCTGCCCATCTCTTCCCGGGCCCATCTGCCCCACTTGGCTCAGCCTGGCCCAGACACTCACCTCCCGTTTGGATGGGGCGATGAAGTTGAGGTATGCCTCCGCCTCCCCGTGGTCATAGCTGATGGAGAAGGCTAACTCATAGAGATCCTGGGGGAGGCAGGCAGCGGAGAGTGCTGAGCGGGGAACAGAGCAGGGCAGGTGCGGGTGGGAAGGAGCCCCTGGCCTCCAGGGCACTCACCTTGTTCTGCTTCCCTGAGCCCTTCTCCCGGACGTGGGGGCAGTCTTTGCCTGTGAGCAGTGCCTTGATATCGGCCACAGGGACTGCGGGAAGAAGGCTGGGCTGACCACTGGGACTCAGGCGGTCCCTGGACAGGGGGTGGTCTCGGGAGGCCAGGTGGCTGACCCGGACCCCTGCCCCATCCTCCTTACGCTGCTCAGGCAGGCTCTCCAGGGTGGGTGGGCTGGCGCCCTCCTCCACGTCCCCGTACTGCAGCATCTTGTGGTTGGGGGACAGGCAGCAGAACCACAGCTTGTCTGTGAGCAGAAAGGGAAGAGGGAAGGAGTGACGAGAGGGGCCCTGATCCCAACCCAGCCGCTCTCTGCCAACCCCTGCCCATTCAACCACCCTGGCGCCTCCGGCTGCTGATTTTGCGGAAGAGTGTCCCCTCGCAGAGGCGGAGCAAACGCTGCTGGCGGATCAGGCCCATGAGCTCTGGCTTCAGCTTTTCCCGTAGCTCCCTGGGTTGGGGGGCGGAGGGGGCAAGGGGAAGGCTTGCTGACTGGGACTGACCCGGGGCAAGGCCCGTAGGGCACCGGGGCAGGTGGGGCCGGGACTGGGACCCACTCCCAGCAACTCACAGTATGGGAGGGGCCAGCGTGCCCTCCTGATGCAGCCGCTCCGTCTGCCTCAGCCGCAGCACCTCCCCATAGGGGAGCGCATTCACCTTGGTTCGGAAAAGCTCCAGGGAGCTGGGCTTCAGGGCCAGCGTACGGGCCAGCTGCTCCCGCACCACCTGCATGACCTGGAGCCACCCAGTTCCACTCAGGGCTGCGCTCGGGGGCCCCTACTCAGAACAGCCCCTACCCTGGCCCGGGTCTCCTCCCTTCACCCCAGCCACCTTGTCAAAGTCCTCCTGGGTGGCTCGCATCTCCTTCCAGGTCTTATTCAGCAGCTGGATGCTCACACAGAAGAGCTCATGGAAACTCTGGTCTTGGCCAAAGAACATGGGCGAAAAGTCCTGGGCTGTTTCGGAGCCTGGAGCAGGGGGGCAGGAGGGGCTCAGGGAGAAGGCGTGCGCAGCCCCTGGCCCTATCTGCCCTTCGGCCCCCGCTCCCGGGCGCGCCGCACCCAAGCCTGCTCACAGGGCTCCCCAACGCGGAGCAGCTCGCACAGCAGCACGGTCAGCTGGATGCTGCTCCGGGCAAAGGGGCACTCGTGCTTGTCCTCACGGCTGCTGTTCTCCAACACTAGCTGGGGCGGCAGAAAGAGCAAATGTGACGGGGCGCTCAGCTAAGGCCATGGGGACCCGGCCATATCCCACCCACCCGATTACCAACCCGGCTGTAGGCACTAGGTGCGTGTTTGGAGAAGTAGAGCATGTTGTCCAGGGCCAGCAGGCCAGGGGGCACGCGCTCTAGATCTTGTGCAGGGTTGCTGTTCTGGGGGAAGCGGGACGGGCAGCTCAGTAAGGGCCCCAGGCCTCTGGAACAACAGCAGCCCTGGGTTGAGGCAGGGGTGGGGGGCTAGGGAGGGGTCGCTCACAGAGAAGCCCAGTTTTCGGAACTCGCGGGCGCACAGGGAACGGCGGCGGTCGGCACTCAGCCCGGTGCCCAGGGACTCCCCCTCTGACTCAAAGGCAGCCTGGCGCAGGGCCTGCAGCTGCTCCCGCTGTTCCTGGGGTCATTGTTGTGGGGTAAGGGGGCGTCAGGATCATACACTCAAAGCCACGCTCTAGCTTCCCCAGCCTCGAGTTCCCCAAAGGCACCCACCTGGCTGTAGGGGTCCAGTGGCGTCCTCATACGTGGCTCCAGCAGCCC